CCAGCCACAGCACAGCGTCTGGGCATGTCGCCGCTCGCAGTGGCTAATTTGAACCAGCCGCTGAACTTGGCATCCAGCGCAGCTTCTGTGGTCGCGGTCCTGCTACTCCTTCCACTACTGTTGCAAAGTGAGAAACGAGATAAAGAAAAAGAGAATTAGAGAAGTGAAGAAGGTAGGAAGGAAAATCAAAGGACAAACTCATTCACTGCTGCAGTCTACCGTTAAAACGCTACCTGCTTTTTACTAATAACTTTCTTGAAATATCATATATATACTCGATTTTGCCAACTTTTTTGGGACAAATCAGTTCAGTTTTGTAGAGCTAAGTAAATCCTCTCAAACACACACACACACACACACACACACACACACACACACACATACATACATACACAGAGGGTGAGATATGAGAAAGGGTGCAGCTTCCCGTCTCATCTCTGCTTGGGTTTTTCTGCCCATTAGGCAAATCCCTTTGTCTCTTCTCAGGATGCAGAGTAGTGATCTCATTGGCTATCATTTAACCAGTGTCATCATTAGGCCGGTTACAAAGGTGTCAACGCACTTGACTGTATCCATCAGGATGACATACGGCTGAATCCAGTTTAGTTTGCTGCCCTTAAGGCACTGGTATGACCCCATAGCATCATGATATCAATGGATATATAACCTGGCATAAAGTGCGTGGCCAGTGGTTTGTTAAGCATTTTGGCTTAGATTGTGGTTTAGTCTAGTCTCTGTAATTTTCCTGTCTCTGGTATCAGTATCAGACAGTATGCATGTGTGTGTCAGGTTTTACCTATGTGGGGACAAAATGTTTCCATAAGGACAGTAAATCCTAAAATCTCCTATATTGTGGGGACCCCCCACCCCATTTCCCTATCAGGAAAATGGCTTAATAAACATGCATAATGAAAATGCTAAATGGTTTGTGTTGAGGGTTGAGGTAGGTCTAAAAAATAAATTAGCGCAGTATTAAAACAGTAGAAGTGAATGGAAAGTCCCCACCATGATACACCATGAAAAGCAGATGTATGTATGTGTGTGAGCGAGTATGAGTGGAAATCACCAGGCCTCGCCACTAAGTGCCGAGAATCATTGGGATAATTACAAAGCAATACACATTCAGACACTCTCTGGCTCACTCACAGTGGGAATTCGTCAGCTCTGGGAGAAATTGATAGCTATTTAGCCACTGGATAGTCATCTGTTTTAATGCATTAATTTTGTATTAAGAGCACTGCCAAATTTAATAGTAGAAATAGGGGTTGGATCAAAAGGGGGTCTTGTATGTGTGTGTGGCTGTGCACACACCACATGCACATTTGTGTATGGCTTTAGGCCAGAAAAACAATACTCTACACAAATGCATACGTGAATTCTTGGCCAGTGTATGTGTGCGGTCCAGTTGCACATACATAACGCGTAACAAACTACAGTACTCGAACGAACAATAGGGTTACCTTCAAAAGTCTATTTACTGTAGATTGTTGTAATTCAGATAGGTAGTGACAATTATGTGGCATGGTGATAGTTTAACGTTAGATAAATTGCATGCATTCAAATTCAAATTGAATAAGAACTGACTATTCTGAACTGACTGATGAAAATGTTCGCTTTTTTCATTAGTGACAACGTTAGTATTTTTTCTTAAGTATATCATGATTATTAAACCATTTTACTTTAAAAAAGCAGTGATAAAATTTCATTTTTGTTGACTAAAATTAGACATCATTTTCGTTTGATAGTAGGTATGACTAATAAATGTGAGATGATGAAATATTAACAATTAATATGGCTTTAGGCCAGAAAAACAATACTCTACACAAATGCATACGTGAATTCTTGGCCAGTGTATGTGTGCGGTCCAGTTGCACATACATAACGCGTAACAAACTACAGTACTCGAACGAACAATAGGGTTACCTTCAAAAGTCTATTTACTGTAGATTGTTGTAATTCAGATAGGTAGTGACAATTATGTGGCATGGTGATAGTTTAACGTTAGATAAATTGCATGCATTCAAATTCAAATTGAATAAGAACTGACTATTCTGAACTGACTGATGAAAATGTTCGCTTTTTTCATTAGTATTAGTATTTTATCGTTAGTATTTTTTCTTAAGTATATCATGATTATTAAACCATTTTACTTTAAAAAAGCAGTGATAAAATTTATTTTTTGTTGACTAAAATTAGACATCATTTTCGTTTGATAGTAGGTATGACTAATAAATGTGACATGATGAAATATTAACAATTATTTTTTTTTTCATCATAAAACAAATCTGTGTGTAAAAATTAACACCTACTGTAGAAGACAGTTTGCACTAATACCTTGTATAGCAGCTCTTGCAGTAACATTGAGAATCCAACACGGACCTGCGTTTGAATAGCTTGCGTTTGAGTCCATGTACTTGTGTAGAGTATGTTGTGGAACTTAGAGCCGCTTTACCACGATTCCACTGTGGGCCTGGGCATTTGTGGAAGTATGCTGAGTGCCTGCACTATATTCAGCTCTCTGGCAGTTAAAGCGGTGATGGGTGTGAAAGGTGTGTGTTTTTTCAGCCCACATAAGTGGATGCTTCTGTAGATCCATGCACAGGAGCAGGTAGGTGTTGAAAGTGATAGCTCTGCATGATGGGAGCGAAGCAGGCAGAGACGCGATGTTGAGTTGCGATGGGGTGGATAAGGTGGGTCGCCCTTGCTTTTCCTCACCTACACGAGTACAGGGGACTGATTCATCCTCCAATTGGGTCGTTATGTGCATATGTGTATGAGAGAGAGTAATCAAAACTCCTGTCCGGTAAAGATGGGCCGCACTTGCTGCACACACTTGCACTCTCTGTTTCTCTCTCTCACACACACTATACGCACACGTTTACTCCCTCCAGCCCACTCAGGTTTCGCTCCACTACACTTCCCCACAGCTCATGTGCTCTCCTGTAAGTCTTTGTTGAAAGTGATAGCTCTGCATGATGGGAGCGAAGCAGGCAGAGACGCGATGTTGAGTTGCGATGGGGTGGATAAGGTGGGTCGCCCTTGCTTTTCCTCACCTACACGAGTACAGGGGACTGATTCATCCTCCAATTGGGTCGTTATGTGCATATGTGTATGAGAGAGAGTAATCAAAACTCCTGTCCGGTAAAGATGGGCCGCACTTGCTGCACACACTTGCACTCTCTGTTTCTCTCTCTCTCACACACACACGCACACGTTTACTCCCTCCAGCCCACTCAGGTTTCGCTCCACTGCACTTCCCCACAGCTCATGTGCTCTCCTGTAAGTCTGCCATTAACTTCCAGCCAATTAAATGAATTTTGAGTAGTAATGTAAGCCATGCTGACTCTGTGGCCTTCTCTGGCTCCAGGGGCCTGTATGTGGCTGTTCTGGGGCCCCTGCGGAGGGGAGACTTCTCAACAGCACCCTGACCAGCCCCTCCCTGCTCAGTGAACATGACTTTTTCATTAAGCCGCTGAATTCCTGCACTTCAGTTGGAGGTGATTTATCAGCATGGAGCTTCATCTCAGGATCATAGGAAACAGACACGCCGCACACAAGCGCTCTCTCATGCGTTATTGTGTTTCATGTTCAGACCCAGGGGTGTGTGTGTGTTGGGTGGGAGATTAGGTGCTGAAAGCATCTCAGGAGTCCCTTGTGTGGATGTTTGAGATGGAATTGTGAAAATATCTGTGTTTTTGTAAGAAAGAGACGTAGGTCCTTGGATGGGTCTGTTTGGCCCTCTGTGTCAGACCTGTAGAGCAATATATGTATCTCTGCTACATGGAAATTATGAATATTATCTCTGGTGTGTTGGAGAGCCTTGAACCTTCTAATATCCCTTACATAAAGTATAATTGCAATGCCATGTTGGTAAAACCATGTTATTCTTTGAAGCACCATAGTGCTTTGGTGTAAATATTGTACCCAAAATTGTAATGGTGTAGCATATGGCTAACATATTTAGCATCAATTGTGTGGTAGACTAGCTTCAGTTTTGGGTAAAAAAGTGATATATTGCTGTTCTCTGGGCTGAGCCAGCTAAGGTTCACCCCTGTAAATCCTGCCCTTTTTATGGGCGCTGTAAAACTCCCCACATTTTTTTTAAAAGATCTTTGAAGTTTATTTCAGGTGTCTTCTTTTTCGCTGCACTTATTTCCACAAAGATGGCTGAAGTATAGACATTAATTTCAGTTAATATATTCTCCTCCTCTCTTGTGAAGAAAGAAGAAACTGTGCCATTTCAAAGCAGGCAATGGATTGATTTGGTGTTTTATGCAAGCAAATCTGTGACAGATCAGTGTACCTGAGCTCTGATATGCTGCATATGTGTTAGGGAGGGTGAGGTGGAGAAGTGCAGCTCAAGCAAAGCCCAAAACATCCAGCAGCACCTACTCAGTGACATCATACCCCCACTTCAAACAGGAAAGGGAGAGAAGGAGCGCACGAGAGAGCGTGAGGAGAAAGACAGAGCCTTTTACGATCACCTAATAACTCCATTACATGGAGCTGAGGGGCACACACAAAAAGCAAAAACCCATTCCTGGAAGTCAGTGGCCCTAATGCACATCTTAGGTATACCAGGGTGACATATGATACCAGCACCACAATTGCCTTGAAAAAAAATCCTTTATAGCAATGGTACCCGAAAATTAAATATTACCAGAGAAGGAGAACATTTCAGGGAACATAATATTTTTTTCCTCTCTCACTGTTGTCAACACCTGATGTGGCCTTAATTGGGTTAAAAATCTAATGTTACTCTGGCTTTGTGCATCCGAAGCCGATGGAAATGCATCTCATCTCTGCGCTGCAGGGCAAAGCCAACTCAGCCGCGTCTTAATGAATCAATTTGTTTTCCCCGACCTTTGTCAGGGTTTGGGGGTGGTCTGTGCAGGAGATTAAGAGCTTCTTAGCAGAGAGATATTTTTTCAGATTTGCATCATCTCCTTCATGGTGCAATTTAGTTGCTTTTTCGTGACTCACGTAACAAAAGGTAAACAATGAGTTCAAGGTAAAAAGACCTAGGAAAGATGCAGCTGTTTAATCACATTATCATAGTTGGTCTTTTTATATATGGTCTTACAGTGGAGAGAGGACAGGAAATGATGAGCAGAAGTGATTGGAAATGTTATGAGACATTTTTGTTTTTTATTTTTTTAACTCACATTGCCCCTTAAAGCACGACAGCTCAAATGCAAGCTGCTGGCCATGGCTCCAACCATCTTATGTGTTTTGAGTATTAAAGATACCAATGACCTTCATGCACATTTATCATATAATTTTAAAGATGCACCATGCAGTTCTTGAACACAGAAAGGTTATTTGTTTCCCTTGTTTTACATTGAGTGTGGACAGTAGCTGTGCGTATTGTCTCACTATAAATCTGTCACTCTACATACACAAACATAATTCACCAAAGAGATGATGGCCATGAAGAATGAATAACAGAGAGATTGCCATTAATTAACACCGGCAGTATTCACAAGTTGCTTTCATGAAGCTTATAAAACAATCATGACTTGAAAGAAGACATGAATCAAGGTTAGTCAAGATGTATTAGTAAGTGCTTTGAGCATACGTGCACAAAGTGATAACTAGGGACTAGCAGTCAGATCTATAGACCTGCAGTGCCTATATTGTGTTGGTCTTGTCTCATTGATTAGGTGTGGTGTGCTCAATGAACAGAGACTCAGCTCGGGATTGTTGTGTTACCGTTGGGTGTGCGCTGTGGTTGGCTTGTTTTGAGTTTGTGGATCGTACCACATATCTCTGGTCCCCCCAAGGATCTCTATACCCTCTTCTGAATATGGTCAGAGCTCCCTACCACCGCCCCATCTCGCTCATTTTGCCTCGCTCTCAAAGAAGCAGGATTTGACTCACTGGTGATCAATATTTAACATCCCATGCGTGAAACAGGCAGATGTTTGGAGTTTCCTTTTCAGAGACGAAAGACTTCTCTTGAGTGAAAGGGATCAATGCACTTTTCTCCGTGTGTCCCTGCTCAAGCTCTTCCTGTAGATGCTAACATGCTCCTCTCGTCTACCTCACCAGCCCCGGGGACGCCAACGTCCCTCTTATGTCTTGTTAGCACACAGAGACACATGCTTACGCTAAGGTCCAGAGACCAGCGTACTGTTGATGAATGACATTGACTTTGTGTTAGACAACAGAGTCCTGATTGGTAATTGATTTATTCATTTGTAAATGGCATTAGGTATCCCGTTCATTAAAAACCCCATGCTAACTCTTGTTCATTCTCTCTCTACAGCATTTGCAGCAGCACGAGAACGCTGTGGAGGGCGAGTCGAGCTACTACCACTGTGTCCTGTGTAACTACTCCACCAAGGCCAAGTTGAACCTCATCCAACACGTCCGTTCCATGAAGCACCAGCGCAGCGAAAGCCTGCGGAAGCTGCAGCGCCTGCAGAAGGGCTTACCTGAGGAAGAGGAGGAGTTGAGCGCCATCTTCACCATTCGCAAATGCCCTTCTGCCGACATGGGTAAGAAGTAAAAGAATACGAGTTTATATGCTCGTCTGATCTTCATGGCATTCCCCTCTTTTGAAACTGAGAGTGGAAAATTCCCACACCATTGATAATTCAGACTTGATAATTGATAGACATTGCATTGTAAATAGACTACAATGTTCATTGTAGTGCAGTTTCAGATCTGGCTAACAATAGAGCAGATTCTTATAATCACCTGGTTCTTCAGACCTGGTCATGCAGCATCAGGGGCACAGGAGTTAGTGAGATGTTTCTAAGTGAATGAGCACAGCACATCTTCAGTCCCTCTGCCGTGTCTATGACATCAATGCCGTGTCTCCGTGCTCCACTGATGACTGATAAGGCAAGGGAATTTCCTAAGGACAATGGCGATCTGGCACTGCACGTTTATTAATACGAGTACAGTCCCCGTGCTGTTCTGCCATTAAACAAACAATCATAGATGCCATTAAGTTCCGAACGGCGAGGGGAGGGAGGCGCCAAAAACAAAAGGCGGGGGCCGAGGCCTTAGTCAGACCATACGTTAGTTCGCCATTAAAACGACAGAGCTGCTGTCAATTAACACACTGTTTCAGCATGGATTTGGTTTTCTAATAATTTTGACTCTTGTGCCCTGACAAAAGACTTCCATTGTGCGTTGCTCCCCTCCCTCCCGTGAGCCAGGCGGCCCAACTGGCTCTTACTGTTGTGTCGTTGGGGAGAGAGAGAGAGAGAGAGAGAGAGAGTGTGAGAGCAAAAAACGGCGGGGGGAGTTGGCCTCTAAAGACGCTTTGTTCCGAGGAGGCAGGGATAATGAAGCCAGCGGCCGGGAAATTGCGCAAAAGGCAGTCACAGATCTGAGGAGAATCATTAGAGAACATATTTAGCCGAGCAATTAAGGACAATTAAGCTTTCTGCTCGCTGCACTCCAAATATGTTAATGACTATAGTACAGTGGACAAGTGAACATGCAAAGGCAATAGGAAGGCCCACTTAGGTTAAAAGGGTGGGGGTGCGGGAGATTTAGAGTGTGTTTCTGGGTAGGTGGAGGTAAAGAGTTCACAAACAAGTCTGGTTTTCTCTCTCTCCCTCGTGCTCTCTCTCTTTTTTGGTTGATGTAGCATTTATTTATATATTTTCTTGGCTAACCTTTGATGTGCGTTAATGGATTCCCTTGTTTGTGAGGCTAGTTGGAGGTTAGGTAATGACTCCTGCAGTAAAGATGTGTAGGCAGACACGCACACACACACACACACACACACACATGCAACCCTCTGCCATCTTTTTTCTAGTTGCAGCAATCCAGTTGAACCCCCTTGACGTCAAATGAGCCGACAACTCAAACAACACATTATGTCTGCTGTACGGCACAACTTTTCCAAACTCTTCCAGAATTAGTCAGATGAGATGTTCTTTTTAGTGAGAAATGGCTGCGTTCTTTGATGATGGCTGATTGCGTGGCCATGCAAGCTTTTTGATGTATTTAATTACTAGCTTTTTCTAGACTAGATATTATTGAATTTCTGTACCTTCAGGAGAGAATATGTAGATGATTAAGGCAGAGGTCTAGCCCAGTGCTGACTGGGAAATGCTGATGAAGGACAAGGTGAGTGTAAATCGACCAGCAGCTCAAAAGGGAACCAGCCTGCCTCTTATTATCAGCTATTGTTTCCTACGCAGACAGAATGAGCGCGAGAGATGGGTCCCAGCATTTCTGTCCTTTGATAGCTGATACCTGCTAAGTGACGTCAGGATCGGGCCTGAGAGAGCTCGGTTAGGGAGGCTGGGTTTTCAGAGAGGAACCGCTGTCCTAATAGCCTTTGACGTTCTGTTTACCAAACGGAGCGGGCTGCAGTTGGAGCGTTGAACAGCTGATTGATTGCCCTACGGATGCAAGATCAAACTCAAGCTCCTGTCTGCCAAGCCGTGGCTCACTGCTCAGCTTGAAAACAAGTCCCATCCCTTTAAATAGCGGGGCCAAAGTTGACAGACTCTTTTCAACTCTTGTATGTATAAGTAAGTATATATATTTAAAGGTCAGTTAAATGAAATGAGGTGTGTAATAAAGAATGTCGGCCTTCTTCGCCTTCTCCTACTCCCTGCTTCGGCATCTTGTTCGAATTACGCTGATAATGAACATACTTCATCAGCGAGTACAAAACATGGCTAATTCCTCACCGTCGTCCGCTGCGCTTATGAACCTGCCCTCCCCCTACTACCTTTACACTTCTTAATGTCCTGCCCCCCTTATCCAACTGAAACCATTCCCTGATGGTGTAATATTTAATTTCCTCCCCGCTAGCTCTTCTGAGGCACTGGGCTCTTTCTTGTGGTTGAGGCACAGTTGCTAAAGTGGTAGAAGGCTCCCCTGCTTGTTAAAACAAAGCTGGCCCTGGATTTCTGGGTCAGCTAAGCAGCAATTCCCTTGGCTGCTGCCGTGCGGTGTGCAGCACTGTTGGTGTTAGGTGCTGGGCTTCTTCCCCAAGCAGAGCTCGACTTTCCTACTCCCCAATTTTCTCGCCCCGGAGTTTCCGACGACCCTGGGCAACATCAATGTGGACTGAGAAGTTTTGCGTAATCCCTAACTCCTAAGTATTAAACTTCAGCATGCAAGTCATCCTGTGCTATGGGCATAAATTGTACCTCAAATCATGTAGACTAAAACATCTAGGGCCAGATTTACTAAAAAAGGTCAAATTAGATTTAGAGCGCAATTCCATAAAAGCACCGATGGGAGGGGAAAATTCTGTGTGTGATTTACTAACAATGAGCACATTAAAGAACACAGATGCAGTCAGATCATTTCCATAATGACCAGCGCAATCTACCAAGAGCAGTGCAAATTAGCACCTGCTTTAAGACATGCTTTTTTGGGCGTTAAATAATGGCGCAAATACCAGTAATTTGACTAGCGCAAACGTTATTAAATCGTGTTGCATGATTCATTTTAATACTTTCCTCCCATAAATTTTGTGCCTGAAAGGAAAACTCCTACAAATGCATATTCAATAAGGTCAGGCACAAAAATAACTGTGTCCATGCCTTTTCAGTGCTAATTCTACACTGTGTTTCTTTAGTAAATTCTGACATTTCTGGTTTGCTCTGGCGCAAGCTGTTAGTAAATCTGGCCCCTAGTTTTCAATTAGAGTTCAATGAGTTTAGAATGTAGTATGCAAACCTAAAACTCAAAACTAAGACATGCTTTTTTGGGCGTTAAATAATGGCGCAAATACCAGTAATTTGACTAGCGCAAACGTTATTAAATCGTGTTGCATGATTCATTTTAATACTTTCCTCCCATAAATTTTGTGCCTGAAAGGAAAACTCCTACAAATGCATATTCAATAAGGTCAGGCACAAAAATAACTGTGTCCATGCCTTTTCAGTGCTAATTCTACAATGTGTTTCTTTAGTAAATTCTGACATTTCTGGTTTGCTCTGGCGCAAGCTGTTAGTAAATCTGGCCCCTAGTTTTCAATTAGAGTTCAATGAGTTTAGAATGTAGTATGCAAACCTAAAACTCAAAACTCTTTGCCGGACAATTAGTTTGGAAGTTTATGAATTAAGAACCTCCAGTAATGTACATTAACCAACAGATACAGCACTTTAATAGATCCCAGATTAAGGCTGCACAGCCACCCCTGAGGGTGGTTTTTTGCATCTCTCTCTGTTGAACTGTCACATTCCATTTTCTGGTCATTTGTTAACAATATCAATGAGGATAAATTAAAAAAAAAGATCCATACCACTAATTCAGAGAAAGTGTGCCATAGCAGATGCTGTAGATGAAAGCAATTGATTGTGGAAATATTGATTAGCGTTGTTTTCAGTTCTGATCCATATGGTGTTATGATATTGTTTTCTCTCAGAACTAACCAAGTTCAGGCTTGATTAAAGTATCCAATCTCCCGTGAATACATGCCAGCTAAGCATTATTAGACCCATAACGAACACAATATAAGATATTCAGATATGACATTAATACATACACACTACAATTCTGTGTGGTGGTGGTGTCTGGGCACGAGTGCAGGTGGTGTAGTCTGGGTTTATGTGGCATATATATTTTTTGCCCTCTGATTTGCCCACAGAGTGCCAAGGCAGCAGAGTTTCCCATCCAATTAGATCAGTGCGTGGATAAAAGGCAGGCATTGTTTTAGTCTGGGCACGAGTGCAGGTGGTGTAGTCTGGGTTTATGTGGCATATATATTTTTTGCCCTCTGATTCGCCCACAGAGTGCCAAGGCAGCAGAGTTTCCCATCCAATTAGATCAGTGCGTGGATAAAAGGCAGGCATTGTTTTAATTCCTGCCCCCGCATTAAAAATGTGCTTCTCAAGCATGCCATTCTCTCACTGGATGTCCATTTGTCGTTCTTAACCCTTTCGCTAGCCACAACACAAAGGAGCTCTCTGCAAGAAGTGTTTCACAAAATTATAAAGTTCAGGCGCCCAAGACAACACACAGTAACACATGCTTACACGGACACAGTCAGCTTCCCGGGTGTGTGTGTGTGTGTGTGTGTCTGAGCTTGATGTGTGGGAAGAGACACTACAGCAGCAGATGACAGGTTTTATGAGTGATGTTCACCAGGGCATATAGCTGGGATGACACATTGGGGTCTCTCATTTCAGAAGACTTAATGGACTGAAGTTTTTTTTGAACATTTCAGACTGACAGATACAGGGGAGTAAGAAAAGAGGAAAGTGGAATTGAAAGATGGTTAGTTGGCTTTTTGGTAGCGCTACAGGCCTTTGGGTGGCATTGCTTACAGCCAGCCTGGAAGATTTGTGTATGTTTGTAGGAGAGAGGAGAGAAAGCTGTTTTGGAGTGTGTACACATTGCACTGGCGCTGTGGATTAGCTGCTGATGTAAATCTTTTTCAGTCGCAGATGGCAGCACCGTGATCGCTGAGCTATGACGTGCTGCAGGAAATCCCTGTCTGTAGACACGGGAACAGCAGCCTGCTTGGCTTCTCTTGCCAACTGCAGCCCTCCCCTCTCAGTACCCAAGCGGG